TACAACTGAAAACAAATATATTAAGATTGGAAACGTGCATTTCACTGCACGTGTATCCGCGTACTAAAAAGTATTAACATGGATTATAACACGGATATATGGACTAAAAAAAGCACGTGCATTTAAATTAAAATCACAAGTAGCAATAGTTTCTTTTAACCAATTACCTGTTGCAATCTCTTTGAAAATTGTGTAAATTACTATAATATATAATTATTATATATTATATAATAATATATAATATATATTTATATACTATAATATATATAATGTATTATCTATATATATTATATAATAATATATAATATATATTTATATACTATAATATATATAATGTATTATCTATATATATTATATATTATAATAATATATAATATATACTTATATATATGCTATATAATTAGCATAATTATGTAGCAGTATATTATATAGTATTATATTAGTAGCTATATTATAGCTATATAATTATGCTAATTATATAGCATACGTTCGACTTTCTTCATATTTTGTACAAATCCGACACTTTCATGAAACATATAATTTAATAAAGAATATCCAACGACAATGTTTCGTATTGTGACGAGTATACTCGTCAAAAACAGCATGCCGGTTAATAAATCCCTGCTTTAGGAATGCGTGAGATTGACGTACGAGATTACGCTCAGACTACAATAGCGATTTTATCGTTGGCAGCAGTGCCCGATGCGCATTCTGAGCTGTAGAAACTGTACTTTCGCCTCGAGTCTTCAATTACAGGATTTCGAAAGATTAACTGATGCGTGGGAGATCGGAGAATTTTTGGGAGGTTCTATCGGTTGTGTTGTGGAAAGTGAAATTCTGCAGGGAGTGTAGAGCGTGAACAGAGAGGGTGAAAGGCCGGTTGCATGCTGTTAGAATTACCGGAGAATACATAATTCGGTATAATTTCGAAGGATCTTCCACTCACCCTTGAAACCCTTTTCCGGCGAGGTTGACTCGGGGTTGTTCGCATCCGCCTCGACGTCCGCCTCGTTTTCAATCGGTGTGTCGATCTGGAATCAAAAGGAAACGTTGAACGATAGTAATGTGAAGCGCCGAAACGCTAGAGATTCGAGTGTGGAATGGGGAAGTTTAAAGATCATTCTCGTCGGGGCTATCGGGAGAACGAAAAACAAGTGGATATTCAGCGATGCACATAAAGGACACGTGTGAACAGCTGGCGACGTCCGCAAAGACCGTCTTCCCACGCGTCTCCGTGGATCACACGTGGGATCTCGAGGCGTTCCACATGGAACCGAGAAGTCACGTGGATCGCTCGATCACTCGTTTCGCCCGGGGAACCGTCCCCGTCCGTCCGTTCCTCTGGTCACACCAAATGTTCACAATGCCAGAAACTGTTTATTTTCCTCGCAGCCAGCGATCCTCCGGCCAATTAACCCTTCAACCCTTCCGTAAGAAGTCGTTGCATCGGCGAATCATATTCTTGTTCTCCCACGGGCCGATAAAACCAACGAAAAAAACAAGGTTCGAACGGAGAACCGGCACCGATCCGCTTTGTTCCACCCTCGTCGCGCGATACGTCGACCTTGCTTGCGGCAGAAACGGATCCGCAAAAAAGCCGCGGGCGGATGAAAAAACGCGTCGCGATCGGGTTCGCGTAGAGACAAGAACAAGACTAGAAGCGCTTATCGATGAATACTAATCGCGGAGGTCCGCGAGGACAGGAGGGAAAAGGCGGCGAGACGATCGAGGATCGGGAATCGAAACGTTGGATCGGGACGAGACGATTTCACGGCTCGACTTTCGCTCGCGTAGGTGTAATTATGTCTGCGGAACCCCTTTTTCCCACAGAACTAAATATAGCGAGTGTCATCCGATGGCCTGGACACACATGTCCCGCGCTGCCGAGCCACATCTGGTCGCTGTTTCCTGCTAGCTACTGCGATATGATTTATTTTCAAGCCGAGGAATCCCAGAGATTCACCGGGCAAGCCTCTTCGGCCGGAACTATCTCTTCGATTTCAAATTCTCGAATAATATTCAAATACGGCAAACACGAGATCGCAGAGAAGCGAGATACGCCCGCGCAAGATCTATATCTCGGTTTCACGCTACGCTTCGCCTCTCTGACTTTCAATCATCGGTTCACACTTTTCGATTGTTATACGCTACACTTGTTCGACACGCGCTCGAGAATGCTACCGACGCATGGTTGCCGGTAGACGTGCAACTATGACTGAGAGAGTCTAGCATAAATTGATCCACTTTCGTGTATATCAACTGGGTCGATCAACAGCATTTAACGCTAAACCTACCGCGGTCAAAGTGACCGCTTTCTTATTTTGCAATTCTGCAAAGTTCCGCGACTCTTTCGTGGAAAACGCTTGAATAAGTTATATTATTGGAGCTAGTTTTATAATAAAAACTTTACAAATTCTAAATAAATTCGGTCTTCTCACTTTTGTGAAGCAGTACATGCCCACAGTTAGTATTACTGCTTGGTAGGTTTAGTGTTAATGAAACTTAGTAGTAGAATAGTATTTAATGAATCCTATGTGAAAGGAATTTACAAACGTTATTAACGTTTTAACGTTATAAACGTTAACCTTGTTAACAATTGTATCGACTGGCTCTTTCTTCTTGAGCAAATATAGTATAGTGGAGCCAGTTACTGTAGCGGATTAATTGCTGTGTTTTTGGTTTGTTTTCGGGAATAATAAACTTTATAATTGTGGAATAAGACATGTTACATTTTTGTATTCTTTGATTTTGTTCATTTTTGAATGAAAATATTCAATATATCTTGTTCGACGAATATAAAGTTAATTACGTCCGAAGACAAATTAAAGGCTCAGCAATTGGTCATACCACAGTAATCAGCTCCACTATTCTTCCCCTATGCGCTTTTTTCGCGAACTCGGGTCGAGATTCAGACGAATGCAAAACTGTCTGAAAGTACGGCCTGCGTAATCCGATCAATTATTATCACAGACCCTAGCCGAACACGTCGGCTTCGGTTCGCTGCGATCTTTCAAACACCGACTGCGGAATGATATTGTATTGGATTGGCAACTAAGTAATTGCCGATTTGTTCAATGAAATAAACAATTTTTTTTACTTGGAATGAAGTTTAATCTGTAATGTATTTTCCATTTTGTTCGATGACCTTTTGCCATCTCTCTGACAACTTGAAAATTCCACGCTCGTAGAAAGTCTGATCCTTTTCGGCCAAAAACTGAGTTAAGTGAGATTTTACAGCGTCGTCGTCATTAAAAGTTTTACCACGAAGGGAGTTGTCCAGGGATCGAAATAAGTGGTAATCC